AAGTTTTTGTTAAATCAAATGATAACTAAATGCGTATATAAGCTGTCTGTCAGGAGTAAAAATGGGATTTGCATTTGTGCTACTTAATTCAGCTAGTCTGCTTCCATTCTTTTTCGTCTATATTAAAATCTGACTTCGATTTTCGACTGCAATAGAATGTCACGACCGAATGGGTTTTCATTTAATTCACGCTAATAACGTAATTGTGAATTTATTTCGCATTGGCTGGTCAAAATGGATACAATAGAGTATAAATAATGGAATGAATGGAACTTTCCCGTATTTATATTATATTTTTATATTGAAACTTTTAATTCTTTAATAACCAAAAAAAAAAATCTAAAATTTTATTTAGTATTAACATATTACGAGTATAACGCAAGCACTACCTCAATGTTGTTATACAATCCAATTGTGGACATTCGTTTTCATTACATTTCAAATGATAAAATTTCACTTTTGCTTCACAAAAAACCGAACACTCCCACCGACGATGGTAATTCGCTCCAGTATTTGAACAATCTTTGCACAACGGCCAATTGCATATCGGGCAAAGTTGACATTTTGCATCATTAGCAAATTTGAATGGCTTATAACACTCTAGACAAACTACTGGACCATTACATTTCGGACCATAAACAAAAGGTAATTCTTCCACTAGCAGTTCCTTTGCTTTAACAGCCGTTTCAACTATCAGATAACGTCCGAAAAGACAATCGCTTCGTACAGCTGTGCGATCAAGACTATGAAGCGCTTTTGATATGTCCATTTTCTTGACTAAAATTCTTTTTCTGTGACTAAAATATTCTCACACAATATTACGAAGTTTTTGCTGTGCAAATTCTTTAAACATGCAGTGACATGTGTGTAATGTTTTCATAAGTTTAATAGAAAAGGTTTTACTAAAATGCCTAGTATGTGTACTAGTGGCCAAATATACCCTTTGGTGAATTTATGCTTCACGCAAATTGTTCTAGACTGGTTTCGAAATCGGCTAATTTGTATGTACTATCTACTTTAGCATGGCGAGCTTTTCGTCTAAGTTCTATGTCCTTCTTGACCGAGTGAGTAACAGCTCGTCCGTGGCAGGAAACAAGCGTATTTCTAAGGTAAAATAAAATCTTCCCATTAAAATCGATCAGCGCAGTGCTGATAAAAGGACCACACATAGTCTAATTATTTTATAATATATATATACATACATATGTATATGTATTTAACTTCCCTGAATGAATAATTTCATTTTAAGAGTTTCGTTGCTTGGGTAAAATACATGTTCATAGAGATGGTATAGAAATTTGTGTATGCACTTTTGACGAAAATTATTTTATTTATTTATTTATGTATTTATTTTTTAGTATAAATCAAAAAGCTCTACTTGTGTGCTTGCCATATTGCAAAGTATTTAAAATACAATCGTCAGAACTACACCGGAAGGTATTGACTTTTCTTGTTAGGGGGGCGGTGGCATTGCCCTTCCGTGTATCGACGGAGTGGGTAGGGTATATTATCTTTGTTCGTGGTACGTACTTAATGCAATGAATGTTATGTTTTCGCGTGTTTAAGGAAAAAATAAATCATAGGCTAATATCGACTTGTATAAATGTAGGCGGACGCCCATGAGCCCCATGACTGTTACGACTTGAATATACATAATTAATTTAAACAGGAAAGAAGAGCTGTCTGCGGTCATGCCGAAGTCTTCATACATTTCATGACCATATCAAAATTTATGGTATTTCATTATAGGATGAAATATTAGTTGTCATTTCTGAATAATTTATTGGATGAGGCTATATCAGAGAACGTATATAAAAGAGAAGGACCATATGTTCTACCTATGGAATTGCTAAGAGACCAAAAACCTAATCATATACATATGTACATATATTATAAGTATCATTTTAGCCTGTACAGTGGACACATTAAGTTATTACTGTTGAAACTAAAGTTTAATTTGTGTTCAAGGTTGTCTTCTCGGACGAAAAAAAAATGGAATCAAATAGTGCGTTGGGCTCTTATATCAAAGGCTAGTTTACATCGTCTCGAATGAATAGTAGAGACTGCAGTCCGAAGTGTTGGAAAAAAGCCTCCTTCCGCTAGTTGAGGTTTACAAGGACTAATTTTCAAACCTAATAATAATCTAGCTCCATAGAAACCAGCAGCTATTCGGTCTGCTTTCCGGACTCAAATCCCATGGAGAACGTTGTGGGCATATATGTATGTAATCGCGATGTGCTTATGCAAATAATCCTCAATTTGACAATACAGATGAGCTTAAGACTGCAATTATTATCGAATGGTCTAACCTGGATTAAATCGATGAAAATCGATAGTTTTGTGTTTCGAGAGCCAGTGGCGCATTTATTGGTTATTAATGAGTTATAAAACATGGCGACAGCGGAAAGTGTCTTATGATTTTGAAATGTATTTTTTTTTTCAAAAACTCTTTATTACATTATAGCAAATTGGGGTTTCAATTGCAGTTTATTTATTTGGGCAAACTTCAGTAGAGAGCCTGTGATTTTTCTTAATGAAATGTTCAGGTGTCTACAATTACCAAAACTATACATTTTATTGCGCTAAAATTTATAGTTTAAAAGTTATTAAGATTTAAAGTTATACTTTTTAAATACAGAGAGTCTAGTTGTATTTAACTTAGGATCACACTAACAACACGTCTCCCTAGTTATCAATTCAAATAATCTACAAATTAACAATAATAAAATAAGTAAAGAAAAAGAATGGACCACTCAAATAAAAAAATAACCCTGGGCCAGAAAGAAAAAAAAATACTTTTGTAACTTGGTGGACTTCGACCGAGCTTTAGATATATGACCCTGGACAGGACCCGAACAGTCTTCACCTTGCACAGTATTTTTTAATAAAATACCCTTGTATGTTGGTGGACTTCGGCCTTGCTTTAGATGTATGACTCTGAGCCAGACCAACACCGGTTTCGCCTTTCACAGTTTTTTTAAGTAAAACTTTTTTATTGTCACTTAATATTTTATGCGAAATTCTTATTTTATTTTGCTTTGATATTTATTGTTAATTTTTATAGATTATTTTAAGGCAACAATGATGTAATTCTAAATGCTCCATAGCCGTCAAAAAAAGTTCTCTGAAAGGATGAAGATTTATGTAAAACTTGCTCTGCAACAATTTGTTGCTTAAATTTACAGGAAGGATGATTGCAATACGGTGGCTGTGGCTGTATGCAGTAGCATGTCATCCAATATAAAATACATTGCTTCGGTTTTATTTGGTGGAAACATTGGTAAAGAAAAGTTTTTTTTTGTATTCTATTAATATTTTACTAGTGCGCAAAAGATATATGCGACTTTCTCACGCGATTTTTTTTGGTATACCTAAAAATTTACAATTTCGTTTGGCACAGCACAGCCGGAGTTTGAAAATTACCCGCGAAGTTAAGTGTACATTTTAGATTTTCTCGGATTCTTTTTGAATAAAAACAAAGCATATTCAATAAGGGCTTCAGTTGACCATCTAAATGAGACTAACATCGAATTTTGTGCATTGTCGTCGCTTGCGAAAGCCTTACTTCCCAATATTTTGCATATTATTTGGTTGACACAGAATTCTAGTAAATTAAATTAATTTAAATTAGCTTGCATTATAAAAAATAGGTAGATTTTCTGATTCTATAGCTTCAACACCCTAACTTCCGATTCCTTAATGCGAATTTGTGGAGGGCAGACGATGATTACACAACACTTCAACACAATTTTCGTTTAAGTAATAACTTTACTATTATTTGAATCATTAATATCATTATATTAAATTCAAAAATTTACATTTGTTCAATTCTTTTGTCAGTATAACATATTCATATTCATTATTTTAAGTAATTTTTGTTTTTTGGACTAAATTGCAACCATATGATCACAAATCAGCTCTGTTTCATACTTGCTTGCGTTCTCTTCTTGCAAATTTTACTGAGTAAAGTTTGCTAAAAATTGTTATTGCCCATTAGCTCACTGAACTGGACTAATATCAGTGAAATAAATTAAATTAACTGGTAAAAAAAAAACTAATAACATTTTATACAATAAATATCTCAACAAAAGTAGTACTAAACAGTCAAAATGTTAAGCCGACCATAAACCTGCACACTTCATAGTTGCTCTGTTTATTTGTTTCTATTGAATAACCAATATCGACTAGAATAACAAACCAATTTTTTTACTAAGCAATTCGAAAAGATTCTGCATTCATATCCATCTCATAATAATTCCATAATTTTGGGAGTTGGTCTGACTAGGATTTAAACCCATGAACCCCGGCATGGTGGTGCACACAGCTGACCATTCGGTCACTGCAGAAATATTTTCAAACTCAACTTGGTAATGTAAAGTGAACAAGGATCGACTTCAGCTATACATTCAGCAAAGCTAAAGAATCGTTAGCCTAGATGCTGTTTACGGAGCAAAATGAGCGTTTTTAAGAATTTTATATCAACACTAATGATAAAACCATACATCTTTGCCGGGTTGTAATGAAAAAATTGTATGAAAATTTCGATTTCTTGCTAAACAGATTTATACAGAATGTTTTTATGTACAAAATGTTTGTTTTAAATTTACATGACTACATACATATATATGTATATATGTACACATAGCACTTAAAAAATCCCGGATAGCTTTTTAAAAAAACTAAAAAAACTCGCAATGCCAATACCGGATGGCTTTTAAAAAAAACTTGATTTTAAATATTTCGCTTTACATACATACATATGCAAATAGTATATGGACATGCATATACACATTTGTATAATTAAGTTTGCATGCACACAGACACAATTTCCCTCTGTTTCCGACGCAACAATTTTTTTTGTTTTTCCTCTAAATATGCACATGTTTTCTGGCAAAGTATGTTTTGTATTTTCTTGTGTATGTACAATACATGTACGTATATCCATCGCTATACTCTTCAAGTAAAATATAAAATAGAATAGATTAAATATTTTTACTAACCTCAAAGGTGTTATGCAATCCAGTTGACTGCATACTCCATCCTCACTAATATTACCAGCAAAATGAACTTTTGCTTTAGCAAATACCTCACACTCGCCTGTATGATCCGGATTATCAAAACAGGCACTACACAATGGCCAATCACACTTTTCACAACGATCCAGAGAATCGCCATCTTCACCGAAAATCAAATCACGATAACAACCGAGACACACAATACCGCTATTCTGTTTTGGGCCCATCGCAAATGGTGACTCCTCCACAACTATTTCACCCTTCTTCACCGGCTCCGTGGTAACCAGACTTCGACCCAACAGTGGATCCACTTCGATTCGCGATTTATGCATTTCAGTTATGTTGCTTTCAACTGCTCGGGGTTGGGCAGTATATAAGGGAGATAACTCGAGTAACTCAATTATTGTTATTTTTTTTAAACTGCAAGATTTGTTATTAATTTTTTACCGCGTTTTTTTTTATTAACGGTTTTAATAAATTTTTCACGGTTATTCAAAAAATATTGCGGTTTTATTTTGGTTAAATATATCGAAGTGATCTTTGATTGACGAGATTTCTCAACTGCAAATGTTATTCGATTAATTGTTGATCTATTTACAAGTTGGCTTTATATATAAAATACTGTACATGCAGTACCTCAAGAATTTTATTTTTAGTTCCTTTTTATTAGTGTATATTTATATGTATATATTTATATGTGCATGCATACTCGTAGTACAACACAAAGTACGCCGAAAGCGTGTTTGGGTAAACGAATGAATGTGCTTTTTTTCTTAGTATTACTAAATGTTTATACATAATTAAATTATTTGTTTAATTTTTTATAACAATTTTTTTTTTTCAAACTAGTTTCGTTGGTCATTTACACACCTACATACATATGTTCATATGCATGTTGTAAGAAATTTTTATTCAAACTGAAGGGTCCAAACAAAAAAGTATTTTTATGTGCTTGTATGTGTTTGCACTTATGTTTATGTTTACGTTTGCATCATCGTGAGTTTTCTTTCATTCATATATTTTTTGCTAGAAATATCTAGCACATTTTCCGAGAAAATCAAGAGAAAGTAAACACGCAAATTGATAAATAACAACGTAGTACGTATGTATATGCATACATACATATATAACAACACATTAGGATGGATGATTTTGAACTTTCAATTTCAAGAAAATATTTTAAATTTATACATGCATACATATGTATATATGTATATATATGTAGATATAATTGGTGTTTTTTAACCGCTGAGGCGATTTTCGGCCGAGCTCCTTCTCTAATTTGTGGTATGTGTCTTGTTGATTTTCCAACAAATGTTTATACTAAGCTGAACTCCTAAACGCTAATGGAATTGAGAAGCTCTTATATCATGTGATAAATACATTCGAAGGGGTTAACATTCCCCGCTTTTTACTTAATTCTTTTATAATTTTTGTTTGTTGGTCGGACCAGGACTTTTAAATTTACTATAGCGAAAATTGAGCTATAATTCACGAACTGTAATATTATACACGTAGTTAGAAATGAGATATGTCGAACTGCAGTGGAGAGACTGCCTACCTCGCAACCTTGCGATAGACCACTACACGTGCGAGGTGAGATAGATACCGAGAGCTGAAGAGTGAAACAAAACGCATTTGCATATAAAAACGAAAGAGACCGTAATGCGTGTGTATGGAGAGCTTGCGAAGCCGGCCGACAAGGATAATGCTCGAAAATTCTACAAAAAAAGATACGGCGACTTAGGGATGGTTTATGAAGGGAACACACTCAAACCTGCTTAATGCAGTGAAAATGGAGCACCAGGATATGGCGAGCCCGAAACCCCAATTGAGGATGGTGAAAAAGATGTTCTATCGCCCGACTATGGTGAGGTACGCTTCAAGATAAACAAAGCTGGAGCTGATGGTTTACCGACAAAGCTATTCAAACATGGCGGTGAAGAACTCACAAGGCGAATACATCGACTTCTTTGCAAAACGTGGTAGGACGAAAACATGCCCGACTATTGGAATTTAAGTGTGCTCTACCCAATCCATAAAAAAGAGTACTCCACGATTTGCGTAAATTGCCAAGGGATTGGGCGACTCTTAAATATCGCATATAAGTTACTATCGAGCGTACTGTGTGAAAGACTAGATTCTACCCTCAACAAGCAGTTTGGACTTTATCAATGTGGCTTTAATATTGGTAAATCAACCATTGCCCAAATGTTCACCACATACCAAATTTTGAAAAAGATCCGTGAAGGAAATAATCGATTTTTTTTCATCGCATATGTTAACTACCTAAATACATACATACATATGCGCTAATATTTTGTGAAAAAATTTGCTTAAACATGTCATTATAGAAGGATTAAAATTTTATTCGTTGTCTGCCGGCCGGAAAATCGACTAAAAAGTCGATCAAACGAAGCATTCACGTGTGTCGAAAAAAGTATTACTGAAAGTGAATTATTTACCAATAAAATTTAAAGAAAAAGAAAATGATTTTGCAGGCGGTCATATGTTAAATTCGAATTTACATTTGTTTAAAAATTTATTTTTCAAAATAGCAAAACGATTACAAACAAACACATTTAGATCACTGCAGATTTGGCGGCAACTGGCAAAAGTGTCTAGTGTGAGCTGTTTGAATTATTAGTCTGAGTTTACATGAGGATACTTTTGTCGCTAATTAACGTAATTTTCTATTTTGTGAGCCCTTCGCGTTTACACAGAGACACTTTCATCAAGCATTTTTTTCGACATTTGTTTCTTCTTCATTTTTTTTCTCTATTCCGCTTCATTTTACATATCTCCTCCTTTTCGCTATCAGCCGAGTCAATCCCAAAGGCTTCTTCTATCCATTCTAATATATCTTGCATTAATTGCCTTTACCTGCAAACTCCATTATCTGGGCATTACAAATAACCAAAATCAACTAAAAAATCGATCAACATAAAGGCATATTTAAGGTGCCGTTAGGCGTGGAAATTTTGAATTCCTTCATTATTGCTGAATTCCTTCATACACGATGAAATTAGTGTCTGCAATTAAATTTCATGCGGTTGCTGTACTATTAATTGTTGCCGAAGGACTGGAGTCTATGGAGGAATTTATGTTAAAAATCTATATTTGAAATTTTAAGGAATCTGAACATCATCCTTCTCCAAATCTGCAATTCGGGGTACATAAACGACGGCCGACGTCGGAGAGCAAGTTATATATATTCTTTTTAACATTATATTATTTGTTTTCTTGATCGGTTTCATATTTTAGCCATTTAACCATTTCACCAATTTTCAAAGTATTGTTGCAAGGCAAATTTATACAATAGAATGCAGAGTTGCATTGTTATGATGACGTTTTGGAACTCGGCCTTTCTGTTACGTTGCTTTAACAATGATGATAGAATGCCAATTTGAGTACTGTTACAATTGCTTCCTTCTTTGGTTTGGAGGTTTTACAATGACCGTTATTCGCAGTTATATTTGGCCCAATCAGCTGCTACATTGCGTGACGTCACAATAACAAAACAAGCATTTCTTGCAATTCAATAATTAATTATTGAATCATGGTATATATGTATGTACATATTTCGTCTGTCAAATCAGATTTTGTTTTATTAAAAAATAAATAAAGTAAGCAATTATTTTTGGGGATATACATAAAACACGAGGGCAATAGGAGACATTTAGAACTTTTATGAAACATCCCCCTAATGTGGCAAAGAATTTTATGAAGAGCGTTATTTGAAGTTCTTTGGGCAGATCTAGGGCCTTATGTCGTTAATACTATTTTAAAATGCAGGTTTAATTATCCTGTGGAACGAAATTAATAATCAGACGTTGTACGTCAACATTGGGTGAGCAGCTTACACTGCCTCTAAAGGATTGGAGAGATCTCATGTATGTATATTAAGTAAACAGAAGCAAAATGTTAAGTTGACTCTCAGCTTAAGTTCGAACCCAAATAAAATCGAGTGAATTTCATAACAACTCAAATTAATACGTTTTTTTAAAGTTCGGTATCAAAGTTATTTACATTTATTGGTTAAAATTTAATTGAAGAACAGGTAAACGCAATTTTCTTAATTAAAAAATTACCTATTACATTTACAAAATGTAAATAAGTCTATATAAATGATTGTGCTTTGTAGCCGTTGAAGTGATTTTAAGCCAAGCTTCTTCTCCAATTTGTGGTGTATAGTTTTCTTAAGTAGCCTTCGAACGACCCTTGGATTTTTGAGAGCAGCTCTTATTTCATTTCAGAAATACCCTCAAAGAACTTGAAATTCTTACCGAATGCGACCAAAATTAAAACAATTGGTCGCCCAGAGACTGGGATCTCTATTCCTGCGAATGTTAGTGCGCAACGCTAAATACTCGGCTATTGCGGTGCAAACAGACATCTGACTTCATAATTAGTTGGTGATATCCTCCCCAAGAATCGACCAATATTCTACATATTACATTGAAGTTATCTTTACTTAGCTTAACTTGATTTATTGAATAAAATCTATTTTTTTTAATGTACAAATCTACATACATACGTATACGTCTAGTAGAAGTATTTGTAAAGTATTTATGCCTCAGAGAGGATTACCAATTTAAAAATTAGGTTTTTGGGGTGTGGGAAAAGTTGCGCCATGCATTAGTTGACCTAATAGTAATGGGTTGTAAGCAGCTGCTGCTGCACCGAAAGCAGGAAACGACGAAAACGGTGGCACAAACGAATTGGGGAAATCGGTAGGTTTCTGTCGGACGGGCGCCTTTGTACGTTTTTTCTTTGATTTCGGTACTGCTACTTCTTCGCTTGAATCACTTTCAGTTTCCGTTTCAGACGTATCTTCTTCTGTATCATTATTTTTAGCTTCATCTTCTTCTTCACTGGAATCAGAGGTATGCCGGCGTTTTCGTTGAGCAGTTTTCTTTAGTGGTTCTCTCGATTTACTTCGACTTTTTTTGCTTATTTTCTTGAGACCTGTTTCCGACATGGGGAGGGGGTTTTCATTTGTCTTAGCACCCATGGGTAAAACAAATTTTTGCTCGGGGTTAAACTGACCAACTTGTTTCATACAGAAATCCATAAAAGTTAGCAGCATTGTAGACAGATTTGCCGGTTGAGGACAGTTTTTCATATTATGGTATGGGGCCGAACAATTCTTACAAATCATCTGGCATTCAAAAGCAGTGTGACCCTAAATAAAGAAAAACAATTTTCGTTAAATATAATTACTATTGCATACATATATAACATATTTATAAGGTTCAGTTTGGCCTTCACAAAGGCGTTTACAAGCATCAAAAAAGATTCTCAAAATGATTAAGGCCCAGGGAAGTAAAATTTAATTACAAATAAGGAAAATTTAAAGTTTAAAAATAAATTAAATATTGGAGTTCATTTGAAGGGCACTTAAAATAAAAATTATTGGAAATATAAAATACTGATTTTAAGTGGTTGCGCTTTGTAAATATGTATTACTGACAACTTGGCAACTTTAAGCAAATATGCAGATTCAAATATATCAAGTAAATGCTTTACCTGTTTATCACATATCAAACATTGATTTTTTAATGCAGCAGCTTTGGTTCGTTCTGATCCTTCTGCTTCAGAAACATCATCTTCAATTACAAATTTTTTTTCTAATTTACCAAGGCAAATTAGATCTTCTTCTGAAGATTTCTTACCCATTTGCTTCTTTGTATTTTTAGATAATTTTTCCACACTTGCTTTAGATACTATGTTTGGCACCGTCGATGTTTTAGTGCTATCTTCCCCGTCTTCTTCTGACGAAGATGAAGAGCTTGAGGATGATTTATTTTTTATATTTTTCTGATTTTGCTTTACGGGTGTTTCTGTCTTTACTTTAAATGCCTTTGTTTTATTAATTTCCTTTTTCGGTAGTTCATTTTCACTTTCTGAAGATGATTCCGAAGAACTAGAAGAGGTGGGTGGTTTCAAATTACGTTTAGCCTCCTTTTTTTCAATTTGCTCTTGTTTTATGTTTTTAATAAGAGGCTGTTCTTTTTCCGATTCCGGCTTTGACGGAAAACTATTCTGATTTGTCTCATTGATCGCTGGGGAATTTACATGAGTATCTATGGCGGACGACACAACCTCTGGTACATTTTTGATAGTTGGCGAAGAATTAGCGACAGTAAAATTTTGTACAAGGCTCTCATTTTGTCCTCGCTCAGAACCGTTTATGTCTTCAAACCAAAGTTTCCCAGATTTTGGCGTTTCATTTTCAAAATGCTTTCCTCCTCGTCTTCCCCTGTTACGTTGACCACGATCTTGTGGAAATTTTGATCTCATGTTGTTGTTATTTTGCCTTTGACCATACGGATCCCGGAACTTTTCAAAACTGCCATCTTGGTCATTTAAAGATGATAAATTCCTATTATCAAAATTTTTGTTCTTATTGCCGTGGTTCCCGTTGTTATCATGAGGACGATTGAAATTGCCCCAGCTACCAGATCTCTGATTGTCATCTTGAGCATTATTATAATGGCTGCCGACATTATTATAATTACCTAGTGATCTAGTGCCACCAAATCTTCTGTTGCCACCTCTTCCACCACGATTCCAATTATTTTGTTTTTGATTCATTTCTTTTTAATTTAAAAATATTACTAAAATTATACTGACAAATAACCGCAAAACACTTCTAACAACAATCTTTGACAAGAAAATGTCAAAAATTTTCACGTGGAAACAAAGCGATATATAAGTACGTTCCCGTACTTTTCTGACGCAAACTATTTAACTACGATCTGACTTCAAAATTGCAACACCAGACTTTTTTTTTTTATAAATAAAACAAAATAATCAAATAGAAATGTGAAAATTTTGCTTACATAAAAAATTAAAAGAAAAATATAATTTTGCTTAAGCTAACATTGGTAGAGCCTTAAAGGATCTCTAATTTAATTTAAACCATCTAATACCAGCGTCCGCTCAAGTACATATTAGTTTTTCACCAAATATTATTTCTTAACTCTTCAAACTGCAGTTAGTATTTCTTATTGAATATAAACTTTGAATCTCTAACATAAATATTTTTTTTGTAGAAGTAAAGTATGTATTTCACCATTTATGAAACTATATAAGAACTTGTTAGCTTAAAAAAATGTTTCCTTGAAACATGTACTTTTGTATCAAATGCTACAGTTTCATTGATATGCGTCTCCGACTTTGATTGTCAAAATCAAGGCAAATTCACACATGTTATTTGCAGAGATCGTATATGTATACAATCTTGCTTTGTGGAAAAGTTTCTTAAGTAGTCTAAGTTTGCGTAAATGAGCCATAAATATTCAATTCTTCAGTGCTCTATGTGTTTGACAGTTCCGGCAAAACGTAACCTCATGTAAACAAAGTTTGATTTGATTGCAAATATTTTATTGTGGCTTAATATTTTTTTAATATTTTGGCTTGCTGATTTTTATAAAAAAAAAAAATGGCTGAAAAACCAAAGGTAAAAGTTTGCTCTTTATTTTTCCCCAGGAAATATATGCTTAAATCTCATTTGATAAACAGACAAGTGGTGGAAATGATGGCAAGGAAAAACGGCGCAAAGAATCTATCTTGGATCTTTCCAAATATTTGGAAAAGCAGATTCGCGTCAAATTTGCTGGTGGTCGAGAAGCGGCAGGCATATTAAAGGGTTATGATGCACTACTTAATCTAGTTCTAGACAATACCGTTGAGTACCTAAGGGATGCTGACGAACCGTTTAAGTTGGCGGAAGAGACCCGAAGTTTAGGGTTAGTAGTGTGTCGAGGCACTGCATTAGTGCTAATTTGCCCACAAGATGGTATGGAATCCATACCCAATCCATTTATAACTCAAGATGCGTAACTTCGAAACCAAGTTTGAGTACCTCTATTTGAAATTATATATGTTTGCAAACGTGCAAGTACATAAACATAATGAAAATTTTATTTTAAAAAATATGGTTAAGTTCTTATTTAATGAATTATAAACGTATATGAACCATAAAAATATTAATAATTTAAACTTTATAATACTAAATGTATGTAATGTTTCATAAATAATAAATTATGGCGAGAAAAAAGCTATTACTCTAAACCGAATTCATTACGAATCCAAGGATATTGTGCCGGACATTCATTGCATGTATATAGATATCGGTCTTGTTGTAATACCCGGCTTCGCAATTTACATGTATTTGCTATATTGCAAACTTTTTCACGTGAGTCTAATTGGGGAATCTTGCAACCCCAGGCCTCAAGTGTGTGTAGTTGTGAATTTGTTGTTGGCTGGCGCATCCACTGAATAGCTTGTTGATTTGTAACGAAATATACATCGGGCAGTTTTTGCAGGTCGTCCATAAAATGCTACAAAGACCGATTAATTTCAATATATACTTTAATATAACTAAGTTTGTCTAGTTTACCAAGAAGGCTTGTAAATAATCATTATTTTTAAACCAGGTCGCATGGAAATATAATCCGAACGGTGCCCGATTGGATAGATAATGACGCTTGAAGTTATGAGTAAGCATACGATATACATCTTCGCCACTCAATTGTGATGGACAGCTGTCGATCATCCCGCAAGTGAATTCTCCGACCTCCAGTTGGTTTATCACCATCTCCCAAATGCCACGGTAACTACGTGATGGACAATTTTGATTTACACCTGTGCACGCATGTGACATTTTATAGTCGAGTGTGTAAGGCCAAATGGGGGGATTACTAAATGGGGCTACCATTGAGGCATCATAAACAAAACCAAACTCTTTCATCATTAAAAATTGTTTATTCCAGCCAACACGCAGAAATGGTACACGTATGCCTCTTATATCTTCCATTCGTATATTAGCAAAGCGATTGAGAATGTTAGCTTGGCCTACCATTTCGTCGAACCAATCCTCAATGGTAGCATTCTTTGACCACCACATCTCCGGTCCACGATGGCTGTTAGATGGAATTCAAATTCAGTGAAATAAGTAAAATTTGTAAATAAATTTGAGAAATTCAACACCCCATACATACGTTACTGAGTGCACTGCGATTTCATGCCCATCATTCCATAATTTCTGCACAAATTGATAATTTGTATATTGATGTGAAACAAAGAATGTACCTTTAATTGGACAGCCGTTTGGATTGCGTCGCTTTGTATTAAACAAGACATTGTTGAACAGATCGAAATTCTCAAAATTTATGGCGTCATCTTTAAATAATCAAGGGAAGAGCTATTTAACTATACTTATTTACTTACTTACGGCTTACCAAAGGTTATAATTATCATTTGTGGGATAGCAGTTCGATTTAATCGTCTCGGTATTTCAGTTCCATCTTTGGAGCAAAAGCAGTCGGGCAAATTACAACTGCGTGTGTCGCATATTTCAGCAGCATTGGGATCATTTGTCATGTCGCACCAGCCCTTAAAGATATACATATATATATAGCTAAAAATTTATTGTTTTTTTTCTAATTACAATTTTTATATATCTTACCTCATCCGATTCATCCGGACAATCGACGGATCCATCACAAAAGTACTCATTGGGCAGGCAGGTGCCATCACCGCAACCCAAATGTGCTTTATCTTCACAATCAGCTTTTTCAAGTAATGGTTTTGGACTTTGCGTTTCTTAAAATAAATTAAAAAATTTAAATAAACAAATTACAAAGGCTATTATATCCATACACACATACATATGTGTATACTTTTTTAATTTTTATATCTATTAAATGCATTAATTTACATACAATACATAGTTTTGATAGCCAATAAATATATTATATTAGATATCTTCGCAGGCTGCATATGTATGTGTATGTGTATTTGTATACTACAAAGAAGCTAGTTTGCAGCAAGCGTGCTGTGCTGATCATAGAATTTTGAAGAGTCAGGTTTGGCATAGTAGAGGAACCAGAGGCTATGTCTACACTGTGCTAATCCTGTGAGAAAAGGATTGGCAGGGACTTTTCAGAAGTACTATCAGCTACGCTAAGTAATTTCGTTCAAATGACCGACGAAATTCCAGTTTTGAAAGTATTTGATGCAGAGAAAAAAGTAGACCTTCAATCCGTTCGCCAGAATCTGGGAAGGGATCTAGCTTCACTTGGGTTCAAATAAAAACTACACCTAACTTATTAAAAACTCAAAAATAATTTCTCAGGAGGTGGATCAATAAATGCAATGAATTAAAATGTAGAACATATAATAGTTTGTTTAACTTGGTTTGATAACTTTAAGACATACATGTACGAGGGGATTAACAAAATTTCGGTTAGTCGACTAGATAAAAATATTTATATTAATAAGTTTGTCCTTTTAAATCACAAGGTGCTATATCCGATGAATATGTTGCTGGACGTATTTCTTCGATCCCAGAAACCCCTATGAAACTACTCGTTGTTTCAGTAGTGTGGAATGGCGCGTTTTCATGATGTAAAAGTAGCGCCGCAAAACCTCTTTCTTCCTGTTTTCCAATAAATTTTTGGAAACTTTTGGTAAGCACTCTCCGGTGTACCATTTTGCTGTTACCAATTGACCCTTTTCCAGTGCAAAATCAGCTACTATTTTAGATGGGGTGAAGTAAACATTTACTCATCATTACTTTTGCTGCTAATTTTTGTTTCTTAGATCTTACGTGTGGGTTTGCTCCCGTTGAGCTTCATACCATGCACTGCAGTTTAGTTTCTGGATCGTACTTAGAACCAAGTTTCGTCACCAATCAGGATTTTACTAACGTTGCTGGACTGACCATTTTCGAGTTTGTTTATTAAAAACTGAGCCAAATGCACTCGAGCCACTTTTTGGGCCTCATTAGAAATTTGTGGTACCCATCGATGATAATTACTTAATATTCCCGATACAGCCATTGCATCCAAGCCCAATTCATTAGCAATCAATTCTTCTGTCAATCGTGGCTCTTTGTCAATTTCGGACTTCACCAGAGCTACAGTGACATCATCAGATTTTGATAGACCTTCTCGGGGCTCGTCCTCTACGGAAAAATCTTCGGAACCACTTAGAAATAGTCTTTAAAGGCAGTGCAATCGTTCCGTACGTAATTTATGCATTCACTGAATATTTGTATTGGCTGTAAATAACGTCGAAACCCGAAGAGAGTCGCATGGCGAATTTCTGTTTGCGTTGGTGGTGGAATTTCGTCTGACCTATCCTCAGCTAACTTGCGTTTGTTCGTCTTCGTTTTAGTCGATCATTATAAAATTAGAAATTTTTTTTAGATTTTTAGATTTAACAAAAACAAATTGAAAGTCACCAACTGACCGAACTTTTGTTAACATCCTCGTATCTTAAGTGAAGTACTTCAGATTCGATTCAAAAACCAGATATAAATAGATTGCTAACGTACTATAATATTAGAGGAGCTTTTTATGCTATAACAATCATATAAGCATACAATAATAGAACTTCTCTCTTACCTGCTGTAATGTCACAGTTATCCACATTCTGCTTAAAATCACAAATTTGTCTGACAACATCAAACAACAACCCCTCCGAGCATTTAAATTCGAATACGTCACCATCTAGGCAAAGGAAGTACTTAGAACACTCATTATTAGTCCATACCTTATGTATTGGCCGATTTGGATCTCGATAGAAACGATCATTTGTCAGACATTCAATGTTTGAGCTTGTGCTGCGTTTAACCAAACTGGATGCGTGCGCTAGAAAAAAGGGAACATTATGTATAACTGTTTGCCGCGACTTCCTCTGGATGGAATTTTAACATCTTAAGAAATAAGATTAGTTTTATTATTATTAATAATTGTAATACTTTATAACATATAAACTAGCGTTTATTATAATATATCATCAACGTATTATGCAAGAGATCCGAGAGGAGTAAGCTTGGGACCCCAGGCCCATTTCGAGAAAGAAAAAGTGTTCTCAATGATAATTTAAGCCCTAAACTGCTACTGTACCAATTGTATAAGTCAAACCATAAATGCAAATTTTCATCCATTCTTATTATTTTTCTTCGCGGAAGAAAAAGTATACCCCATATCAATTCAGTCAAAAAGTTCGCTGTGCACCAAATTTCATGTAAATCAAATGGTTTAAAAATAAAAGCGCTCGGATCGGTTCCAGGTCCATTTCCCGGGAAATCCTTTCTTATGCAGAACACACTCTCAAAGCTTCAGATCTCTACAACCAGTGGTTTAGGCGATGGGTTGATCCGTCAGTCATTCGGGACAAAGCATTTTAAATATATAGATTATTCGTTAGTCCAGCCGGATAGTGCATCTGTCGTACATTTATTTTAACATGTTCCTTCCATAATTGTAAACAATTTCTTTATTTGTAGCAATTATAAGCACTCATGACCTCACCTTATCCATGTTGGTCACTTTATTCCTGGTCACATTGCAACCTTTGATACTTTTCCATCTTAATATAGGATCTCCGTTTCGAATAACTCGCGGCATGCAAAACTCTTCCATGATGGCGCGCATACTAAATTCAGAGAACTTCTTAGTGATCTGCGGCATTTTTCCACCGTTTCCGATAGTAATGCTCCCTTGAGTAGACTAAGCTTTATATTGTAAAGTTTGTGAGACACTACAACAGTCAGCTTATATGGATATGCTATACCTCGGCATTACTTCTTCACCTTTATATGTACATATGTTACGCAGCAATTGTTTACTGTTAGGTTCCTCCATAGACATTCCCGCAAACTCGGACCGGGTTCCCTACTATCAACCAGATAATGCTGATATAGGTATCTACTATCTACCTACTACTATCATCTGGTTCTGAAAAAATGTATGACTTGAAGGTGCGATTTTCCCATCAGATCATTCAATGTGACTCTTTAGCATTTAACTCTTTACCCAGTTAGATCCGAATTGAATCGTCTCGGTGCCTTGAGTCGGACCATAAGTTGAAGTTTTGATGTTGGAACCGTGTCGAATCAAATCGAAAGTAATTATCAGAATGAAATTCAGATCAACTATCGTATCAACAAGGTAGACTCCGCATTGTTTGATTAGATGACAACAGAGACGACGGACATTTTTATAGACAGCATTTCTCAATTAAATAGAATTTGAGTTTATTAATGTTATTCAATATTTGTATTCAAAATGCTCGAAAAAGTTCGAATTGCTCGAGCAAAACTCGAAAGTTTTCGCACAATGAGCGATAAACGAGTGTGCGAGTACTCGTTGCTTAAATGCTCGAGCAGCTCGAAAATGTTCGAATAAAATCTCCAGCTCTAGAATATACACAAATGTCCCTCGGTGGGTGTCAAAAACTTATATCGATTCCTTTTTAAAGTCTTAATGTCTAGGAGAGCAAAATATCTTAGTAAAGTCGAAAATTAAGATTTATACATACTTATAATAAAATTCCAGGTGAAATACTTAGTTTTATATTTCAATTGATTGAAGTTGTTATAAATTTCTCGCACAGTGTACTATGGGTATTCACAACGTGAATAATATCCAAGGAAAACTTTTGAATGCATTCATTTATTTGATTTGTTTTATTCCGTTGGAAAATCAAATGGAAAAATCTACTAGATCTTCTGTACTCCAACCACTCCAGCACCTAGAAAAAGCATTCTCTGAGCTGAGAATTATTGCAGGAACAAATCAAATATTCTCTCTTGCTAACACAAACCTCGAAAATTTAGCAACCTTCGATTTGATGGAGGTAATCTTGCAATTTTCAACCATTTTTTGGAGCTTATTGGGCGGTATACTCGTATCAGCCATAACATGACGAATGTTGCTTTAAAGCGCTCTTTTGCGTGGCCCCACAAACAAACGAAAGTTCAAAACGCTCCGAACCGACCGTGGCAGTCTCGCCGTTGTTGTTTACAAAGAATAAAAGTCAAATCACACCTACGGATTAAAGAACGCGCCAGACAGTAAGTTTTCTTTTTGGGTGTAATGGTTTCTCTGCAATTATTTGAGGATTCTCGGAACCCCATATGCGGCAGTTTTGATGATACCCCGTTGTCAGCTGGCCTCAATTGATGTGTCAGGTGGGAGTCCAAGTGCAAAATACGCCATAATGTGCTGTAAAGAAGTCCCAGATCTTGGGCACGTCGAGAAATAAGCACACTTGGGTGTACAATATCTGTAACCGATCGAGTTTCTACAAATTCCAATTTCAATTATACCAATTGCTTGAGCAGTTGGACGATTATGTGAACCACCACGAAACCTTACCACGTTTGAATCACCATTTTTCTAGTAGGTTTTAACAATTTTAACCGTCATACGCTTGTTGAGGGATTCATTTTCGTAAATGACTGACTTTATTTGGCTTGACCGTTAAGTTTAATAGTCTTGCAAGAACGGGCTGATGGGCTCACCAATACACTCACACGATTTCGAGCAGCACTAACACATTTGCACATTTGCAGCAGATAGAAGTGAAAAATATGTGAAGAGGATACTTTAGAAGCTGTGATAATAATATGTTTTGGATTGCATTAAGATATTATTAACATTATGATTCGAAAATTATTTTTAAATTTTTCTTAAATATTTTATACTTCTAAGGAGCTGTGATTGTGACGGAGGCGTTCGAGGAGCTGAGGTGCAGTTTTGCTTATAATATTTTGCTGATTTTTGAAAACGAATTTATTGTTGTATTGTTATTTCTTTTGTATGTTATGTTAATCAAACATATGATTTATGTTAAATATTGAAATAAAGACTGTAATTTTAATAATGTTTGTATGTATGTATATATGTAGGGAAAATTTTTGTCAAAGCTGATTTCCTTCGACATCAATGCTGTCGCTCAGCGGTGTTCTGTTTGTCCGACAAGAATGACAATAATGCACAAGAAAACGAAGAGAGAATGACGTACACCTATACAAATGTAAACATCACGTTAGTCATTTCGGCCTTAGGCTGCAACTACCCAACGAGCGTACCAGCCGTCCATAGTAACCTATCTTATGAGAGCGCCATGTAAACACAAAGTTGTCACCGATTTACCATAGCGTTGCTGACGTTTGTGTCGCAGAAACCAACGAAGTTTTGATTTTTCCATAAAACCGGCTCGGCTCTTTTTTCGTTGCTATACAAGGTTGCCAGTATAGCCTTTCTTAAAGTAACATTAAA